ATAACTCGGCAGGTCTTTTAAGCCATTTTATAAATGCTATTCAAAAGTATGAAATGGCATCAGATTCCTACAAAATTCGTCTTTTTTCATATTTTTTTCGGGAAAAACTTTCCAAATCTTTTATAATGCAATGTATAAATATTAATGTACTTGAAGTGTCTGAAAATGGGTTTCATTTATCTAGAGGTATATTAACTCAGAACATTTACTTCACTTTCATAAGTCATAGGGCTGTAACTAAATTGAGGCAAATGCCTCAGGTAGGAAATTTCAAAAACAAAAGCTTGTCTTCATATCAAATTGTTTTTACTTCGAATGCCTTTCAAGAAGCAAGTTCTGTTCACCCTCTGGCATACAGCCCCTGTTTTTCGTGATCCATGTTTCACATTTAATTTTAGTTTTCAGTGTTATTTGTCTATAATGTTTGCCGTTTTGTGTTTTATCTGTTCCAGGGTTTGTCTTTTGTTCATTGATTGCCCTTCTTTATTCTCTTAGTGTTGCATTCCATTTGTAATTTAGTAATTTTTTTAAACTTGAGTTTAATTTTATTTAAGGACTTTTTATCTAATTTTACAAACTACATGAATTTCAAATTGTATCTCAGTTAGGAACTACATCAAGTTGTAATTGAAATGTGTTATAAAAACTTACCTGACATAGTTATATCAATGATAATCAACCTCTCTTAACTTAATTTGAGATCAAAAACACATAATTGACAGGTATATAAAAAAGATTTTCTGCAAGCCAAAACACAAAAAAAACAAAACAAAAAGCAGCCACATACTTAAGTTTCTGAATTACACTTGTTGCTTTATCCTACATATTGGTCTTTTGATGTTGTCCCTAAAAACTAAATTACTGAATGTATATATTTTGCTTTGAGACCAACATATTGTCTTCTTGTGGCCTTCAGCGGCTCCCAAAACTTTCGCCAAACAAATATGTTTGACATTACTTTAAAAAGAGGCTTAGTTACAGCCCCACTTTAATACCTTGTACGTAAGCAATACCTGCATTTTGGAATTCAGAAGATTCACTTCCACAGGATGATGATTAATTCTGATTAAATGGTACATAATGATTTGACTATACACTTATTATCTATTTAGGAATAAAAAAAAATTTTTAAATTGTGTGTTTTCAAATATTATAAATATAATTGTGAAAATAAATAATCAGTCCCTTGTTTTAATGAAAATGAAAAACCGTGCTTCATCAGTACAGAAAATAGATAATCTCTTCTTCTAGTTCACAAAAATAAATAACTGATCCAAAACAAATCTTCCTGGCCCCCACCAGAATATCAAATGGTCGTCCCCTAAGGTTTATCAGAGATCGGTTATCTTTCCTCATTGTTACATGCTGTTGACAGATGAATACTGCAGGCACTTTTGAGGCACAAGGTTTAGGTTTATCAGAGATACAATAGGACAGGATGGAGGTGCTATTTGTAAACTTAACAAAATTTATTTCAAATCATTATAAAAATAAGATCTGGTATGAATGCCAATGAGATAACTATCCACCATTGGCCATTCTTAGTAGGTAAGTTTAAGTTTTTTTTAAAAGACATACTGTATAGCGGGTTATTTTAGCGGGGTGTAAATTTTCGCTTATTTTCGCGGATAGAAAAAAATCGCCAAAATAAATTCTGCCAATTTTAAAGTGCACATGCAAAGGTATTGATAAAAGTATTGAATCCGCCAAAATATTTCGTATACCTTATTCAATGAAAATCGCGAAATTTTACCCCTGCGAAAATAACCCGCTATACGGTACAGCTTATGAAAATGATGAGAAGAAAGTGAGTTATAAATATAAAAATAAGGATATGTGGTACGATTGCCAATGAAGTAACTGTACACCAAGGATATCTTGTATGATTGCCAATGAGGCAACTGTCCACCAAGGATATGTGGTACAATTGCCAATGCTAAGGATACGTGGTATGATTGCCAATGAGGCAACTGTCCACCAAGGATATGTGGTACAATTGCCAATGCTAAGGATATGCGGTATGATTGCCAATGAGGCAACTGTCCACCAAGGATATGTGGTATGATTGCCAATGAGGTAACTGTACACCAAGGATATGTGGTACGATTGTCAATGAGGCAACTGTCCACCAAGGATATGTGGTATGATTGCCATTGAGGTAACTGTACACCAAGGATATCTTGTATGATTGCCAATGAGGCAACTGTCCACCAAGGATATGTGGTACAATTGCCAATACCAAGGATATGTGGTATTATTGCCAATGAGGCAACTGTCCACCATAGATATGCGGTATGATTGCCAATGAGGTAACTGTACACCAAGGATATGTGGTACAATTGTCAATGAGGCAACTGTTCACCAAGGATATGTGGAATGATTGTCAATGAGGCAACTGTTCACCAAGGATATGTGGTATGATTGCCAATGAGGCAACTGTCCACAAAGGATATGTGGTATGATTGACAATGAGGCAACTGTCCACCAAGGATATTTGGTACGATTGCCAATGAGGCAACTGTTCACCAAGGATATGCAAGGAGAGGCAGCAACCCAAAGTCACAAATAATCAAAAGATCTCATTGGAAATAACATCAATGAGACAGCAACCCAAAGTCACCAATAACCAAAAGATCTCCTTGGAAAACACATCCATGAGACAGCAACCCAAAGTCACAAATAACCAAAAGATCTCCTTGGAAAACACATCAATGAGACAGCAACCCAAAGTCACCAATAACCAAAAGATCTCCTTGGAAAACACATCCATGTGACAGCAACCCAAAGTCACCAATAACCAAAAGATCTCTTTGGAAAACACATCTATGTGACAGCAACCCAAAGAGAAAAGAAATAATATATATTCAATGTCACTGAATGAAGCATTCTGAAAGATATGTAAATTGACAGTATTAATTCATTTCAATAAATGCTACTAACAACATTTTAAAATTCTGAGAATTAAATGACAGCTTTGATGCTTGGTATGAAATTAAGATGTTTATTTACATCTTCTGAAATAAACAATTTTGTATTTTGTGGATTTCTTATTAATTCAATGCATTTTTTCCTTTTAACAGTTATTAACTTTTATTAACCTTTATTCTTGATCTGAATTTGAGCGTGACACACAGACAGACATTATTGTATGTCTAATATCTAATTTAAACCTTCCTGACTTTGTAAAAGTAAATAGAATATAAGTATTTGACATTTTTGTTTATAATAAACCTTTCTTTTGTAAGGTATATGGAAAAAAAAATACTTCAATATATTCATACTGGTTTATTTATGAAAAATGATATGCATTTTTTTTTATCTTGCAAGAAAAACATGATTGATGTGAAATATAAGATGTTTATTTACTTCATATGAAATATAAAATGTCATGTGTTAGGGTCGTTTTAAATTCAATGATATTTAACCTCTGAACCATTAATTTAACTTCTTGAAGAGAATTTGAGGCCTAACCAGAGATAAATACTGTTTGATGTCAGTTCTAGTGAGGTTAAATCCCTTCTTTCCCATAACATTCTATATTTTCCAGGTATTTTTGATGCATTCAATAGGTTGCTTTTCTTTGTTCTTGGTGAACAGTGTAATTTAAAAATAAGGAGATGTAGTATGATTGCCAATGAGACAACAATCCACCAAAGTTCAAATAAAGTAGATGTAAGCAATTATAGGCAACCGTACAGCCTTCAACAATGAGAAAAACCCATGCCATATAGTCGGCTATAAAAGGCCCTGACATGAAAAATATGAAACAATTCAATTATGAAAACCAACAGCCTAATTTATAACAAAACAATTAACGACAAACAAATATGACAGGCCTGAACCAACGAAAACCACTGAACTACAGGCTCCTGACTTGGGACAGGCACATAAAGAATGAGACGGCAACCCAAATAAGTACATTACCGTAACCAGTTGTGCTTTTAAAGAAGAATTGAGATGTTTATTTTTAGTCAACTTGTGTTGTTAAATTGCTGTCTTGATCATAAATGCTTATCTTGCTGTTTTATTCTTACGCTTTGTACGAGAATGAAATGAAGAATTTAAGTAAGAGATCTTTGGGTTATATGTCACTTTGGGTTGCTGTCTCATTGATGTGTTTTCCAAAGAGATCTTTTGGTTATTTGTGACATTTGGTTGCTGTCTCATTGATGTGTTTTCCAAGAAGATCTTTTGGTTATTTACGACTTTGGGTTGCTGTCTCATTGATGTGTTTTCCAAGGAGATCTTTTGGTTATTTGTGACTTTGGGTTGCTGTCTCCTTGATGTGTTTTCCAAGGAGATCTTTTGGTTATTTGTGACTTTGGGTTGCTGTCTCATTGATGTGTTTTCCAAGGAGATCTTAAGATTATTTGTGACTTTGGGTTGCTGTCTCATTGATGTGTTTTCCAAGGAGATCTTTAGGTTATTTGTGACTTTGGGTTGCTGTCTCATTGATGTGTTTTCAAAGGAGATCATTTGGTTATTGGTGACTTTGGGTTGCTGTCTCATTGATGTGTTTTCCAAGGAGATCTTTAGGTTATTGGTGACTTTGGGTTGCTGTCTCATTGATGTGTTTTCAAAGGAGATCATTTGGTTATTGGTGACTTTGGGTTGCTGTCTCATTGATGTGTTTTCCAAGGAGATCTTTAGGTTATTTGTGACTTTGGGTTGCTGTCTCATTGATGTGTTTTCCAAGGAGATCTTTAGGTTATTTGTGACTTTGAGTTGCTGTCTAATTGATGTGTTTTCCATGGCGATCTTTTGGTTATTCGTGACTTTGGGATGCTGTCTCATTGATGTGTTTTCCAAGGAGATCTTTAGGTTATTTGTGACTTTGGGTTGCTGTCTAATTGATGTGTCTCCTTTCAGTCATCTTCTGTAAATATGAAGTTTTTACAATATTTTTATTGTTTTTTTCCTGAATTTATAGTATAAAACCTAACCTGCCCATTCACCCCTTTTTTTTACTGAATTTATAGTATTAAACCTAACCTGCCTATTCACCTCTGTTTTCATGAATTTGTAGTATAAAACTTAACCTGCCCATTCACCCCTGTTTTCATGAATATATAGTATAAAACCTAACCTGCCTATTCACCCTGTTTTCCTGAATTTATAGTATAAAACCTAACCTGCCTATTCACCCCTGTTTTCCTGAATTTATAGTATAAAACCTAACCTGCCTATTCACCCCTGTTTTCCTGAATTTATAGTATAAAACCTAACCTGCCCATTCACCCCTGTTTTCCTGAATTTATAGTATAAAACCTAACCTGCCTATTCACCCCTGTTTTCCTGAATTTATAGTATAAAACCTAACCTGCCCATTCACCCCTGTATAAAACCTAACCTGCCCATTCACCCCTGTTTTCCTGAATTTATAGTATAAAACCTAACCTGCCCATTCACCCCTGTTTTCCTGAATTTATAGTATAAAACCTAACCTGCCTATTCACCCCCGTTTTCCTGAATTTATAGTATAAAACCTAACCTGCCCATTCACCTCTGTTTTCCTGAATTTATAGTACAAAACCTAACCTGCACATTCACACCTGTATAAAACCTAACCTGCCCATTCACCCCTGTATCAAACCTAACCTGCCCATTCACCCCTGTTTTCCTGAACAGTATAAAACTTAAACTGCCCATTCACCCCTGTATAAAACCTAACCTGCCCATTCACCCCTGTTTTCCTGAATTTATAGTATAAAACCCAACCTGCCTATTCACCCCTGTTTTCCTGAATTTATGGTATAAAACCTTACCTGCCCATTCACCCCTGTTTTCCTGAATTTATAGTATAAAACCTAACCTGCCAATTCACCCCTGTTTTCCTGAATTTATAGTATAAAAACTAGCCTGCCCATTCACCCCTGTATAAAACCTAACCTGCCCATTCACCCCTGTTTTCCTGAACAGTATAAAACTTAAACTGCCAATCACCCCTGTATAAAACCTAACCTGCCCATTCACCCCTGTTTTCCTGAACAGTATAAAACTTAAACTGCCCATTCACCCCTGTATAAAACCTAACCTGCCCATTCACCCCTGTTTTCCTGAATTTATAGTATAAAACCTAACCTGCCTATTCACCCCTGTTTTCCTGAATTTATAGTATAAAACCTAACCTGCCCATTCACCCCTGTATAAAACCTAACCTGCCCATTCACCCCTGTATAAAACCTAACCTGCCCATTCACCCCTGTATAAAACCTAACCTGCCCATTCACCCCTGTATAAAACCTAACCTGCCCATTCACCCCTGTTTTCCTGAACAGTATAAAACCTAACCTGCCCATTCACCCCTGTATAAAACCTAACCTGCCCATTCACCCCTGTTTTCCTGAACAGTATAAAACTTAAACTGCCCATTCACCCCTGTATAAAACCTAACCTGCCCATTCACCCCTGTTTTCCTGAATTTATAGTATAAAACCCAACCTGCCTATTCACCCCTGTTTTCCTGAATTTATAGTATAAAACCTTACTTGCCCATTCACCCCTGTTTTCCTGAATTTATAGTATAAAACCTAACCTGCCAATTCACCCCTGTTTTCATGAATTTATAGTATAAAACCTAACCTGCCCATTCACCCCTGTATAAAACTAACCTGCCCATTCAACCCTGTTTTCCTGAACAGTATAAAACTTAAACTGCCCATTCACCCCTGTATAAAACCTAACCTGCCCATTCACCCCTGTTTTCCTGAACAGTATAAAACTTAAACTGCCCATTCACCCCTGTATAAAACCTAACCTGCCCATTCACCCCTGTTTTCCTGAATTTATAGTATAAAACCTAACCTGCCCATTCACCTCTGTTTTCCTGAATTTATAGTATAAAACCTAACCTGCCTATTCACCCCTGTTTTCCTGAATTTAAAGTAAAAAACCTAACCTGCCCATTCACCCCTGTATAAAACCTTACCTGTCCATTCACCCCTGTATAAAACCTAACCTGCCCATTCACCCCTGTATAAAACCTAACTTGCCCATTCACCTCTGTTTTCATGAACAGTATAAAACTTAAACTGCCAATTCACCCCTGTATAAAACCTAACCTGCCCATTCACCCCTGTTTTCCTGAACAGTATAAAACATAAACTGCCCATTCACCCCTGTATAAAACCTAACTTGCCCAATCACCCCTATTTTTCTGAATTTATAGTATAAAACCCAACCTGCCTATTCACCCCTGTTTTCCTGAATTTATAGTATAAAACCTAACCTGCCTATTCACCCCTGTTTTCCTGAATTTATAGTATAAAACCTAACCTGCCCATTCACCTTTGTTTTCCTGAATTTATAGTATAAAACCTAACCTGCCCATTCACCCCTGTTTTCCTGAACAGTATAAAACTTAAACTGCCCATTCACCCCTGTATAAAACCTAACCTGCCCATTCACCCCTGTTTTCCTGAATTTATAGTATAAAACCCAACCTGCCTATTCACCCCTGTTTTCCTGAATATATAGTATAAAACCTTACCTGCCCATTCACCCCTGTTTTCCTGAACAGTATAAAACTTAAACTGCCCATTCACCCCTGTATAAAACCTAACCTGCCCATTCACCCCTGTTTTCCTGAATTTATAGTATAAAACCTAACCTGCCCATTCACCTCTGTTTTCCTGAATTTATAGTATAAAACCTAACCTGCCTATTCACCCCTGTTTTCCTGAATATATAGTATAAAACCTAACCTGCCCATTCACCCCTGTATAAAACCTAACCTGCCCATTCACCCCTGTATAAAACCTAACCTGCCCATTCACCCCTGTTTTCCTGAACAGTATAAAACTTAAACTGCCCATTCACCCCTGTATAAAACCTAACCTGCCCATTCACCCCTGTTTTCCTGAACAGTATAAAACTTAAACTGCCCATTCACCCCTGTATAAAACCTAACCTGCCCATTCACCCCTGTTTTCCTGAATTTATAGTATAAAACCTAACCTGCCCATTCACCTCTGTTTTCCTGAATTTATAGTATAAAACCTAACCTGCCTATTCACCCCTGTTTTCCTGAATTTAAAGTAAAAAACCTAACCTGCCCATTCACCCCTGTATAAAACCTTACCTGTCCATTCACCCCTGTATAAAACCTAACCTGCCCATTCACCCCTGTATAAAACCTAACTTGCCCATTCACCTCTGTTTTCATGAACAGTATAAAACTTAAACTGCCCATTCACCCCTGTATAAAACCTAACCTGCCCATTCACCCCTGTTTTCCTGAACAGTATAAAACATAAACTGCCCATTCACCCCTGTATAAAACCTAACTTGCCCAATCACCCCTATTGTTCTGAATTTATAGTATAAAACCCAACCTGCCTATTCACCCCTGTTTTCCTGAATTTATAGTATAAAACCTAACCTGCCTATTCACCCCTGTTTTCCTGAATTTAAAGTAAAAAACCTAACCTGCCCATTCACCCCTGTATAAAACCTTACCTGTCCATTCACCCCTGTATAAAACCTAACCTGCCCATTCACCCCTGTATAAAACCTAACTTGCCCATTCACCTCTGTTTTCATGAACAGTATAAAACTTAAACTGCCCATTCACCCCTGTATAAAACCTAACCTGCCCATTCACCCCTGTTTTCCTGAACAGTATAAAACTTAAACTGCCCATTCACTCCTGTATAAAACCTAACCTGCCCATTCACCCCTGTTTTCCTGAATTTATAGTATAAAACCTAACCTGCCCATTCACCTCTGTTTTCCTGAATTTATAGTATAAAACCTAAACAGCCTATTCACCCCTGTTTTCCTGAATTTATAGTAAAAAACCTAACCTGCCCATTCACCCCTGTATAAAACCTAACCTGCCCATTCACCCCTGTATAAAACCTAACCTGCCCATTTACCCCTGTATAAAACCTAACCTGCCCATTCACCCCTGTATAAAACCTAACTTGCCCATTCACCCCTGTTTTCCTGAACAGTATAAAACCTAACCTGCCCATTCACCCCTGTTTTCCTGAACAGTATAAAACTTAAACTGCCCATTCACCCCTGTATAAAACCTAACCTGCCCATTCACCCCTGTTTTCCTGAATTTAAAGTATAAAACCCAACCTGCCTATTCACCCCTGTTTTCCTGAATTTATAGTATAAAACCTTACTTGCCCATTCACCCCTGTTTTCCTGAATTTATAGTATAAAACCTAACCTGCCAATTCACCCCTGTTTTCATGAATTTATAGTATAAAACCTAACCTGCCCATTCACCCCTGTATAAAACCTAACCTGCCCATTCGCCCCTGTTTTCCTGAACAGTTTAAAACTTAAACTGCCCATTCACCCCTGTATAAAACCTAACCTGCCCATTCACCCCTGTTTTCCTGAACAGTATAAAACTTAAACTGCCCATTCACCCCTGTATAAAACCTAACCTGCCCATTCACCCCTGTTTTCCTGAATTTATAGTATAAAACCTAACCTGCCCATTCACCTCTGTTTTCCTGAATTTATAGTATAAAACCTAACCTGCCTTTTCACCCCTGTTTTCCTGAATTTATAGTTAAAAACCTAACCTGCCCATTCACCCCTGTATAAAACCTAACCTGCCCATTCACCCCTGTATAAAACCTAACCTGCCCATTCACCCCTGTATAAAACCTAACTTGCCCATTCACCCCTGTTTTCCTGAACAGTATAAAACCTAACCTGCCCATTCACCCCTGTATAAAACCTAACCTGCCCATTCACCCCTGTTTTCCTGAACAGTATAAAACTTAAACTGCCCATTCACCCCTGTATAAAACCTAACCTGCCCATTCACCCCTGTTTTCGTGAATTTATAGTATAAAACCCAACCTGCCTATTCACCCCTGTTTTCCTGAATTTATAGTATAAAACCTTACTTGCCCATTCACCCCTGTTTTCCTGAATTTATAGTATAAAACGTAACCTGCCCATTCACCCCTGTATAAAACCTAACCTGCCCATTCACCCCTGTTTTCCTGAACAGTATAAAACTTAAACTGCCCATTCACCCCTGTATAAAACCTAACCTGCCCATTCACCCCTGTTTTCCTGAACAGTATAAAACTTAAACTGCCCATTCACCCCTGTATAAAACCTAACCTGCCCATTCACCCCTGTTTTCCTGAATTTATAGTATAAAACCTAACCTGCCCATTCACCTCTGTTTTCCTGAATTTATAGTATAAAACCTAAACAGCCTATTCACCCCTGTTTTCCTGAATTTATAGTAAAAAACCTAACCTGCCCATTCACCCCTGTATAAAACCTAACCTGCCCATTCACCCCTGTATAAAACCTAACCTGCCCATTCACCCCTGTATAAAACCTAACTTGCCCATTCACCTCTGTTTTCCTGAACAGTATAAAACTTAAACTGCCCATTCACCCCTGTATAAAACCTAACCTGCCCATTCACCCCTGTTTTCCTGAACAGTATAAAACATAAACTGCCCATTCACCCCTGTATAAAACCTAACTTGCCCAATCACCCCTATTTTCCTGAATTTATAGTATAAAACCCAACCTGCGTATTCACCCCTGTTTTCCTGAATTTATAGTATAAAACCTAACCTGCCTATTCACCCCTGTTTTCCTGAATTTATAGTATAAAACCTAACCTGCCCATTCACCTCTGTTTTCCTGAATTTATAGTATAAAACCTAACCTGCCTATTCACCCCTGTTTTCCTGAATTTATAGTATAAAACCTAACCTGCCCATTCACCCCTGTATAAAACCTAACCTGCCCATTCACCCCTGTATAAAACCTAACCTGCCCATTCACCCCTGTATAAAACCTAACTTGCCCATTCACCCCTGTTTTCCTGAACAGTATAATACTCAACCTGCCCATTCACCCCTGTATAAAACCTAACCTGCCCATACACCCCTGTTTTCCTGAACAGTATAAAACTTAACCTGCCCATTCACCCCTGTATAAAACCTAACCTGCCCATTCACCCCTGTTTTCCTGAATTTATATTATAAAACCCAACCTGCCTATTCACCCCTGTTTTCCTGAATATATAGTATAAAACTTTACCTGCCCATTCACCCCTGTTTTCCTGAATTTATAGTATAAAACCTAACCTGCCTATTCACCCCTGTTTTCCTGAATTTATAGTATAAAACCTAACCTGCCTATTCACCCCTGTTTTCCTGAATATATAGTATAAAACCTTACTTGCCCATTCATTCCTGTATAAAACCTAACCTGCCCATTCACCCCTGTATAAAACCTAACCTGCCCATTCACCCCTTTTTTCCTGAACAGTATAAAACTTAAACTGCCCATTCACCCCTGTATAAAACCTAACCTGCCCATTCACCCCTGTTTTCCTGAACAGTATAAAACTTAAACTGCCCATTCACCCCTGTATAAAACCTAACCTGCCCATTCACCCCTGTTTTCCTGAATTTATAGTATAAAACCTAACCTGCCCATTCACCTCTGTTTTCCTGAATTTATAGTATAAAACCTAACCTGCCTATTCACCCCTGTTTTCCTGATTATATAGTATAAAACCTAACCTGCCCATTCACCCCTGTATAAAACCTAACCTGCCCATTCACCCCTGTATAAAACCTAACCTGCCCATTCACCTCTGTTTTCCTGAATTTATAGTATAAAACCTAACCTGCCTATTCACCCCTGTTTTCCTGAATTTAAAGTAAAAAACCTAACCTGCCCATTCACCCCTGTATAAAACCTTACCTGTCCATTCACCCCTGTATAAAACCTAACCTGCCCATTCACCCCTGTATAAAACCTAACTTGCCCATTCACCTCTGTTTTCATGAACAGTATAAAACTTAAACTGCCCATTCACCCCTGTATAAAACCTAACCTGCCCATTCACCCCTGTTTTCCTGAACAGTATAAAACTTAAACTGCCCATTCACCCCTGTATAAAACCTAACCTGTCCATTCACCCCTGTTTTCCTGAATTTATAGTATAAAACCTAACCTGCCCATTCACCCCTGTTTTCCTGAACAGTATAAAACTTAAACTGCCCATTCACCCCTGTATAAAACCTAACCTGCCCATTCACCCCTGTTTTCCTGAATTTATAGTATAAAACCTAACCTGCCTATTCACCCCTTTTTTCCTGAATTTATAGTATAAAACCTAACCTGCCCATTCACCTCTGTTTTCCTGAATTTATAGTATAAAACCTAACCTGCCTATTCACCCCTGTTTTCCTGAATTTATAGTATAAAACCTAACCTGCCCATTCACCCCTGTATAAAACCTAACCTGCCCATTCACCCCTGTATAAAACCTAACTTGCCCATTCACCCCTGTTTTCCTGAACAGTATAAAACCTAACCTGCCCATTCACCCCTGTATAAAACCTAACCTGCCCATTCACCCCTGTTTTCCTGAACAGTATAAAACTTAAACTGCCCATTCACCCCTGTATAAAACCTAACCTGCCCATTCACCCCTGTTTTCGTGAATTTATAGTATAAAACCCAACCTGCCTATTCACCCCTGTTTTCCTGAATTTATAGTATAAAACCTTACTTGCCCATTCACCCCTGTTTTCCTGAATTTATAGTATAAAACCTAACCTGCCCATTCACCCCTGTATAAAACCTAACCTGCCCATTCACCCCTGTTTTCCTGAACAGTATAAAACTTAAACTGCCCATTCACCCCTGTATAAAACCTAACCTGCCCATTCACCCCTGTTTTCCTGAACAGTATAAAACTTAAACTGCCCATTCACCCCTGTATAAAACCTAACCTGCCCATTCACCCCTGTTTTCCTGAATTTATAGTATAAAACCTAACCTGCCCATTCACCTCTGTTTTCCTGAATTTATAGTATAAAACCTAAACAGCCTATTCACCCCTGTTTTCCTGAATTTATAGTAAAAAACCTAACCTGCCCATTCACCCCTGTATAAAACCTAACCTGCCCATTCACCCCTGTATAAAACCTAACCTGCCCATTCACCCCTGTATAAAACCTAACTTGCCCATTCACCTCTGTTTTCCTGAACAGTATAAAACTTAAACTGCCCATTCACCCCTGTATAAAACCTAACCTGCCCATTCACCCCTGTTTTCCTGAACAGTATAAAACATAAACTGCCCATTCACCCCTGTATAAAACCTAACTTGCCCAATCACCCCTATTTTCCTGAATTTATAGTATAAAACCTAACCTGCCCATTCACCCCTGTTTTCCTGAATTTATAGTATAAAACCCAACCTGCCTATTCACCCCTGTTTTCCTGAATTTGTAGTATTAAACCTTACCTGCCCATTCACCCCTGTTTTCCTGAATTTATAGTATAAAACCTAACATGCCCATTCACTCCTGTATAAAACCTAACCTGCCCATTCACCCCTGTTTTCCTGAACAGTATAAAACTTAAAATGCCCATTCACCCCTGTATAAAACCTAACCTGCCCATTCACCCCTGTTTTCCTGAACAGTATAAAACTTAAACTGCCCATTCACCCCTGTATAAAACCTAACCTGCCCATTCACCCCTGTTTTCCTGAATTTATAGTATAAAACCTAACCTGCCCATTCACCTCTGTTTTCCTGAATTGATAGTATTTAAAAACTAACCTGCCTATTCACCCCTGTTTTCCTGAATTTATAGTATAAAACCTCACCTGCCCATTCACCCCTGTATAAAACCTAACCTGCCCATTCTCCCCTGTATAATACCTAACCTGCCCATTCACCCCTGTATAATACCTAACCTGCCCATTCACCCCTGTATAAAACCTAACCTGCCCATTCACCCCTGTATAAAACCTAACCTGCCGATTCTCCCCTGTATAAAACCTAACCTGCGGATTCTCCCCTGTATAATACCTAACCTGCCCATTCACCCCTGTATAAAACCTAACCTGCCCATTCACCCCTGTTTTCCTGAATAGTATAAAACTTAAACTGCCCATTTACCCCTGTATAAAACCTAACCTGCCCATTCACCCCTGTTTTCCTGAATTTATAGTATAAAACCTAACCTGCCCATTCACCCCTGTTTTCCTGAATTTATAGTATAAAACCTCACCTGCCCATTCACCCCTGTATAAAACCTATCCTGTCGATTCTCCCCTGTATAAAACCTAACCTGCCGATTCTCCCCTGTATAATACCTAACCTGCCCATTCACCCCTGTATAAAACCTAACCTGCCCATTCACCCCTGTTTTCCTGAACAGTATAAAACTTAAACTGCCCATTCAACCCTGTATAAAACCTAACCTGCCCATTCACCCCTGTTTTCCTGAATTTATAGTATAAAACCTAACCTGCCCAATCACCCCTGTTTTCCTGAATTTATAGTATAAAACCTTACCTGCCCATTCACCCCTGTTTTACTGGATTTATAGTATAAAACTTAACCTGCCTATTCACCCCTGTTTTCCTGAATTTATAGTATAAAACCTAACCTGCCCATTCACCCCTGTTTTCCTGAATTTATAGTATAAAACCTTACCTGCCCATTCACCCCTGTTTTCCTGAATTTATAGTATAAAACCTTACCTGCCCATTCACCCCTGTTTTCCTGAATTTATAGTATAAAACCTAACCTGCCCATTCACCCATGTTTTCCTGAATTTATAGTATAAAACCTAACCTGCCCTTTCACCTTTGTTTTCCTGAATTTATAGTATAAAACCTAACCTGCCCATTCACCCCTGTTTTCCTGGATTTATAGTATAAAACCTAACCTGCTCATTCACCCTTGTTTTCCTGAATTTATAGTATAAAACTTAACCTGCCTATTCACCCCTGTTTTCCTGAATTTATAGTATAAAACCTAACCTGCCCATTCACCCCTGTTTTCCTGAACAGTATAAAACTTAAACTGCCCATTCACCCCTGTATAAAACCTAACCTGCCCATTCACCCCTGTATAAAACCTAACCTGCCCATTCACCCCTGCATAAAACCTAACTTGCCCATTCACCCCTGTTTTCCTGAACAGTATAAAACTTAAACTGCCCATTCACCCCTGTATAAAACCTAACCTGCCCATTCACCCCTGTTTTCCTGAACAGTATAAAACATAAACTGCCCATTCACCCCTGTATAAAACCTAACTTGCCCAATCACCTCTGTATAAAACCTAACCTGCCCATTCACCCCTGTTTTCCTGAATTTATAGTATACAACCTCACCTGCCTATTCACCCCTGTTCTCCTGAATTTATAGTATAAAACCTAACCTGCCTATTCACCCCTGTTGTCCTGACAGTAGAATGTTTTTAATGATTGAATTGTGCTTGTGGTAGGTTTCTGCTTGAATTGTGCCTGTGGTAGGTTTCTGCTAGGTGGGTTCTTAAAGGGAAGAAAAATGAATTATACATGCCATTGAAAGTCATGACCCTATTGTAGGAAAAACCCATGATATAGAGGGCATAGACTTGTGATGTTCAGTTTCTGTCACGCTAACATTTACCCAACACCTTCTTTTATTTAAACTTATTGTAGAAGAAAAGGGAACAGTGCTATTGTGGGATGTAGAAGGATTTACCCATATTTTAGAAAATACAAAGACTAGACCATTACAGAGAATCAAAACTAGACATAAACTAGACTTTAGAGGGATAAGAACCCATTGCAGAAAGTAGAGTGACTAGAACTTCTTTGAGGATAAAGAGGTGCAAGACCTTTATTGCCTTAAGTAGGATAAAAGAGGAAGCAGACTTTATTGTAGGAAATACAGAGACTAGACCTAATTTTGACTTTTAGATGAAGAACAACAATAAAAGTGCTGTTCCTTTGCTTATTGTTTTTTTTTTTTTTTTTTTGCTGTGCATGTACTGATTTTGTGTCATGCCCCGTATCCTTTGTTTTTCTACCAATTGTAGAAAATAGAGTGACTAGAACTTATTGTAGAAAATAGAGTAACTAGACTTCATTGTATGAAAAAGAGTGACTAGACCTTATTTTAGAAAATAGAGTACCTAAACCTTATTGTCGAAAAATAGAGTAACTAGACTGTATGGTAGGAAGTGGTGTGACTAGACCTTATTGTAGAAATGAGAGTGAGAAGACCTTATTGTAGGAAATAGAGTTACTAGACCTTATTGTAGGAAATAGAGATTTGACCTTATTGTAGAAAATAGAGTTATTAGACCTTATTACAGGAAAAAGAGTGAGCAGACCTTATTGTAGGAATTAGAGTGGCAAGACTTTATTGTAAGAATTAGAGTGACTAGACTTTATTGTGGGAAATAGAATGACTAGACCTTTTTGTAGGAAATAGAGTGCCTCAGACCTTATTGTAGGAAATAAAAAGATTTGACCTTATTTTAAGAAATAGAGTGACTGGACCTTATTGAAGGAAATAGAGTAACTAGACCTTATTGTCGAAAATAGAGTAACTAGACTGTATTGTAGGAAATAGTGAGAGCAGACCTTATTGTAGAAATAGAAAGACTAGACCTTATTGTAGAAAATAGAATAACTTGACCTTATTGTAGAAAATAGAATAACTTGACCTTATTGTGGAAAACAGAGGGGTTAGATCTTGTTGTAGGAAATAGAGTAACAGACTTTATTATAGGAAATAGAAAGACTAGTGCTTATTGTAGTAAATAGAGTGACTAAACCTTATTGTAGGAAATAGAGTGACTAGACCTTATTGTAGGAAATAGAGTGACTAGACCTCATTGTAGGAAATAGAGTGACTAGATTTCATTGTAGGAAATAGAGTGACTAGACCTTATTGTAGGAAATAGAGTGACTAGTTTCTATTGTAGGAAATAGAGTGACTAGATTTCATTGCAGGAAATAGAATGAATAAACCTTTTTGTAGGAAAAAGAGTGACTAGATTTCATTGTAGGAAATAGAGTGACTAGACCTTATTGTAGGAAATAGAGTATCTAGATTCCGTTGTAGGAAATAGAGTGACTACACCTTATTGTAGGAAATAGAGTGACTAGACCTTATTGTAGGAAATAGAGTGACTACACCTTATTGTAGGAAATAGAGTGACTAGACCTTATTGTAGGAAATAGAGTATCTAGATTCCATTGTAGGAAATAGAGTGACTACACCTTATTGTAGGAAATAGAGTGACTAGACCTTATTGTAGGAAATACAGTGACTAGATTCTATTGTAGGAAATAGAGTGACTAGATTCCATTGTAGGAAATAGATTGACTAAACCTTATTGTAGGAAACAGAGTGACTAGATTTCATTGTAGGAAAGAGAGTGACTAAACCTTATTGTAGGAAATAGAATGACTAGACCTTATTGTAGGAAATAGAGTGACTAGACTTCATTGTAGGAAATAGAGTGACTAGACCTTATTGTAGGAAATAGAGTGACTAGACCTTATTGTAGGAAATAGAGTGACTAGATTTCATTGTAGGAAATAGAGTGACTAGACCTTATTGTAGGACATAGAGTGACTAGTTTCTATTGTAGGAAATAGAGTGACTAGATTTCATTGTAGGAAATAGAATGACTAAAACTTTTTGTAGGAAATAGAGTGACTAGATTTCATTGTAGGAAATAGAGTGACTAGACCTTATTGTAGGAAATAGAGTATCTAGATTCCATTGTAGGAAATAGAGTGACTACACCTTATTGTAGGAAATAGAGTGACTAGACCTTATTGTAGGAAATAGAGTGACTAGATTCCATTGTAGGAAATAGAGTGACTAGACCTTGTTGTAGGAAATAGAGTGACTAGACCTTATTGTAGGAAATACAGTGACTAGATTCTATTGTAGGAAACAGAGTGACTACACCTTATTGTAGGAAATAGAGTGACTAGATTCCATTGTTGGAAATAGAGTGACTACACCTTATTGTAGGAAATAGAGTGACTAGACCTTATTGTAGGAAATACAGTGACTATATTCTATTGTAGGAAATAGAGTAAATAGATTTCATTGTAGGAAATAGAGTGACTAGACCTTATTGTAGGAAATAGAGTGACTAGATTCCATTGTAGGAAATAGAGTGACTATGACTTTATTGTAAGAAAAAGACACGATAAAAGGGACTGGACCTTGCTTAATAAACAGACAGAACAGACATAATAGGAGGTATATAGACCAGACCTTATTGTAAGAAATATAGGGACTAGACTCTGTTATAGGAAATAGAGTATCTAGATTCCGTTGTAGGAAATAGAGTGACTACACCTTATTGTAGGAAATAGAGTGACTAGACCTTATTGTAGGAAATAGAGTGACTACACCTTATTGTAGGAAATAGAGTGACTAGACCTTATTGTAGGAAATAGAGTATCTAGATTCCATTGTAGGAAATAGAGTGACTACACCTTATTGTAGGAAATAGAGTGACTACACCTTATTGTAGGAAATAGAGTGACTAGATTCCATTGTAGGAAATAGAATGACTAAACCTTATTGAAGGAAACAGAGTGACTAGATTTCATTGTAGGAAAGAGAGTGACTAAACCTTATTGTAGGAAATAGAATGACTAGACCTTATTGTAGGAAATAGAGTGACTAGACTTCATTGTAGGAAATAGAGTGACTAGACCTTATTGTAGGAAATAGAGTGACTAGACCTTATTGTAGGAAATAGAGTGACTAGATTTCATTGTAGGAAATAGAGTGACTAGACCTTATTGTAGGACATAGAGTGACTAGTTTCTATTGCAGTAAATAGAGTGACTAGATTTCATTGTAGGAAATAGAATGACTAAACCTTTTTGTAGGAAATAGAGTGACTAGATTTCATTGTAGGAAATAGAGTGACTAGACCTTATTGTAGGAAATAGAGTATCTAGATTCCATTGTAGGAAATAGAGTGACTACACCTTATTGTAGGAAATAGAGTGACTAGACCTTATTGTAGGAAATAGAGTGACTAGATTCCATTGTAGGAAATAGAGTGACTAGACCTTGTTGTAGGAAATAGAGTGACTAGACCTTATTGTAGGAAATACAGTGACTAGATTCTATTGTAGGAAACAGAGTGACTACACCTTATTGTAGGAAATAGAGTGACTAGATTCCATTGTTGGAAATAGAGTGACTACACCTTATTGTAGGAAATAGAGTGACTAGACCTTATTGTAGGAAATACAGTGACTATATTCTATTGTAGGAAATAGAGTAAATAGATTTCATTGTAGGAAATAGAGTGACTAGACCTTATTGTAGGAAATAGAGTGACTAGATTCCATTGTAGGAAATAGAGTGACTATGACTTTATTGTAAGAAAAAGACACGATAAAAGGGACTTGACCTTGCTATATAAACAGACAGAACAGACATAATAGGAGGTATATAGACCAGACCTTATTGTAAGAAATATAGGGACTAGACTCTGTTATAGGAAATAGAAAGATGAAGATCTTTTATTAGGAAAAGAAGGGCTATAACCCATAATTTGTACGAACAAAACTTCAGGTAAGAAATATTTAGCATAGCTATCTTGGCCAGCGAATAAATCTGCAGAATAAACTTGAGAATGGAAATGGGGAATATGTGAAAGAGACAACAACCCGACCAAAGAGCAGACAACAGCCGATGGCCACCATGAATGGGTCTTCAACGCAGCAAGAAAATCCTGCACCCGGAGGTGGTCCTCAGCTGGCCCGTAAATAAAATTGTGTACTAGTTCAGTGAAAATGGACGTCACACTAAACTCCAAAACATATAAATGAACTAAAATTAAAAAACATACAAGACTAACAGAGGCCAGAAGCTCCTGACTTGGGACAGGCGCAAAAATGTGGAGGGGTTAAACATGTTTTGTGAGATCTCAACCCTCCCCCTATACTTCTAGCAAATGAAGAAGAACATTTTAGAAGGAAATTGACCAAAAGCTGCTCTTTATAATTTGGGGCTTCAAAAAAAATTCCTGATCCTCCCCAGTTGCAATTATTATAGAAGTTTAAGGATGAATAAAAAGAAAATTTAAAATTTATGTGCTCACAATTTGAAAAATGACCACAAAATTTATGATAACTAAAACAAATGTAACTCAACTCATTTTATAATAGCAGATGTTGATAAAGAAGTCTTGGTATTATTTTTAAGGTACATCAACTCAAATTTGATTTTAATGAGGCCAAGGATTTGTATAGTAATTAAGAGGCTATAAAAATGCACTACTGTAAATAAAATAATAGCTTACAGGGGGTCATGTTTCATATCTTGTATTGAATTTATTTTAATTTATGACTTTTTCACATGTTTTCAATCTTATTTTTTTTTTGTTAATATCTGTAAAGTATAGATGCACTTTAAAGGATTTTCCATTTCAGGTATAAATATTCATATTCAGTGTTTACCATGTCACAATGGATAATGATGTTACCTATCTTTATTTCCTTCATTTTTCACAATATTCAGTTGTTAGGCTTTTATAGATATTTAAAGGGATATTAGTCGACATATATTTGGCTTACACTAACATAAGAGACAATTACTGGAAATTCAGAAATTTTTGCGAAGTTTTTGTTAAATGCGAATAATGTGACTGAGGGAGTATCACAAAAATAAGAACTCACATTCTGGTATCTAAAACATATGTCTGTATGCAGCTTTTCCTGAAATCACAATAATTAATTTGGCATGTTTGTACATTTATCAAAAATTGCAATAATAAATGCACACAATAGTTTCTGAATTTATAGTCAACTTTATATATTCATAGATGTTTCACCATGGTAGAAAGTATTGTAATTTCTTTTAATTTTTACCTCTGATGAATTGCTACTCCTTTAGCATTTTCTTTAAAAATCTTAAATCTAAAATATTGTAAACATTAATTAATGTTTCTCATGCAATTTCCTCTGCTGGAATATAGGAAGGCTTATCTGTGGGCAATTGCAATAAATTATTTTTAGACAAAACATAATGTTTTAGAAAGATGGAAAAGCTTTCAACCACAAAATTCTTATCTTAAATTAATTTATGTATTTGATTTTCAGCCTACATTCATGACCTCATTTTCAAGGGGCACTAACTGTAACAAAATCAATTTCTTTTCATTAAGATGTTTTGGATATTATTTTTGACTTTTTTTTAAAGTTTTTTTGCCTATTATCATAATAAAAGAACTGTAAACAGCAAAAATGATCAGCAATGCTAGAGGTTCTAAAATGTCGATTGGGCAAAACCATTGAAAGACTCCTTATATCAGATATTGCCTTGTGTTATTGTATAATTGGTTACCTGTTTATTGTGAAGTTGCCCTCTAAATTTCTTTTGGTTGTTTTTGGTTGTTGGCTTGTTGACTCATTGAAGGATTTCCGACATATTCTTTTATTTATAATCATGATGAACCTTTATTTAAAATATTTTGGCCAAAAAAAACATCATAAAAATGTGTCATATAACAACAAAAATTCATTATTTTAGATTTACTGGGTACAGGTAATATTAACCTAGGCCTTTGACCTCAATTAATAAATCTATTCTTTAAGGTAATAAATCCCTGTCAATCAATTAATCAGGACATTACTGAATATATCAATATATTTCATAAAAAAATCAAGTACATTTCTTTCTTTTACAAACCCATTTAAACATTTAAATAATGTATCAGTAGATGATAAGATATAGATAGGAGATATTATTTGTATGTTTATAGGGTGCATTGGTGATAAAATTGTTCAATTAGGACGGGGTAACAATACCCAGGTTTGGATTACCGTATAACCTTTTTAGTATTGTGTCTAAATAAATATTTCAGTGAGATGATAATGCAGTGAAGGGATTGGTGCTGTCCCAATTAACAGGTAAGTGGACAAGTATTTATTTGTGAATTTCTGTCCCAATCAACAGGTAAGTGGACAAGTATTTATTTGTGAATTTCTGTCCCAATCAACAGGTAAGTGGACAAATATTTATTTGTCAAAGGGTTAAATCTTATACTTTGTTGTCCCCCTTTCACAAGGAAAGTATTATTGGAACAAGGAATTATTTGAAACTGTAAAAATAATGAAATCTGGAATATTTAGTAATATTTATTTATAACACTAACCTGACTAAAGAGGGTTACCCATGCATGGCTAAGGGGTTAGGTAGCTATATTTACTTCTAAGTTAACCAATAAAAGACCCTTAGCCGTGCATGTAGTTGTGCTAGTTATATAGACAAGAAACTAAACTCATTTTCTATTTTTGTCATGCCTATGATATTTTGTCGCAGAACGAGACATAACAATCCTATATTCTGGCACTGTCATTAGCATTGCAAATATTTACATTCAGTCTGTGGTTAAAGTTTACACATCAATAGGTTTGTCAAACCTTCATGGAATTCTATGAAACTTGGACAGACGCCTTTTTTTCACCAAATTTACCACAGTATCCAAAGCTAAAGTTTACCTTTTATTTTTGATTTTTCCATATTTTACTGATAAATGGACTTGCAGTTAACATAAAGATATGAGTCAAAAGTTTAATGTGTTTTAGAGTTCAATAACATTGTCAAATATACCTTTATGGAATTTTATGAAACTTGGACAGAAGCTTTTTTTAAAATCAAAAGACAGTATCTGTAAAAAAATTTGACTTTTTTTTCAGTTAACAAAATTTAAGATTAACAGTCTAATTTGATGTTTTTTAGGTATCAATAACTTTGTCAAACCTTCATGAAATTTTACAAAACATTGACATAATCTTTATGATCAACAGACAGTATTACACCAAAATTTTTCATATTTTACTGATAAAAAGACTTTTTTTGCAGTTAACATTAAGATACAGTCTGGGATTAATTACTTTGTCAAATATTTTTAAAACTTTATTTCAGCCGTTAATAATCAAAAGAGAATGTAATTTAAAGCAAAATTTTTTAAATTTTTCGCAGTTAACATTTACACACATTCTGTGAATAATTTGTTTAAGACATCAATTACTTTTTTAAACATTCATGGAATGTTGTGAAACTTGGACAGAAGCTTTTTCAAGATTAAGAAATAGTATCTGAAGAAATGAAGTTGATTTTTTATGCCCCATCTACGATATTAGAGGGGCATTATGTTTTTCGGTCTGTGCGTCTGTTCGTTCGTCCGTCCGTCCGTCTGTCCCTCTTCATGTTAAAGTTTTTGGTCAAGGTAGTTTTTGATGAAGTTGAAGTCCAATGAACTTGAAACTTAGTACACATGTTCCCTATGATATGATCTTTCTAATTTTAATGCCAAATTAGAGTTTTGACCACAATTTCACGGTCCACTGAACATATAAAATGATAGTGTGAGTGGGGCAACTGTATACTATGGACACATTCTTGTTTGTTCTGTTATCTAATGATAAATTGACAGTTTTTGGCAGTCAACAACTTTTACAATGACGGCAGCAATTGCAGGCAGGACACAGGATTCCGTGAAACATTTACATATTTTTAGATATTATTCCAGTTTTTATTAATTCCCTATTTTTTACTTTTGATTATTTGATTTTAATCTCCTCAACAACTTTCTAACATTCATTGTAAAAATATCTGTTTTGTGTATTTTATAGATATCTGAAATAATTGTAATTTGGCTGTTATAAATTATAACAGCTTGGACCCCACCACATGTCATGCCTCTCTAAAGTTGGGGTATATGGACCATGCATTGTTTGTACATCTTTTTTTCTGAAGGAGACATGTGCTGGTGGCTGATGTGGTCTGTTTTGTAGTGTCAAGTATTTTTGCTGTTGACTGTTATCCTGTGAATGTATTGTTGTGTGATATTTCATAATTAATTCAAAGCAAAAGAGGAAGCCCATGAGGCTCAAAAATTGGCAGATTTTTAATTGTCTTTTCAGCTAACCAACTTCATTGTTTCATTTTCTTCCTTCCATCTTTCAGCTATCAATTTTCATTGTTTTCATTTTCTTCCATCCATCTTTCAGATAACCATCTTCATTGTTTTCTTTTCTTCCTTCCATCTTTCAGCTAACCATCTTCATTGTTTCCATTTTCTTCCATCCATCTTTCATGCAGCTTACCAACTTGAAAGGACCATTACAGGTCTCCTTGGTTTCCATGCCTATAGCTAGTATATAAACTTAATACAAATCAAGATTGATCATGTTGATCAGAAATTTCTTTTCTCACATTGCACGGTTACCAGATTCTCACATTGCACGGTTACCAGATTCTCACATTGCACGTTTACCAGATCGATTTATATGAGTTCTTGTTTATCTTTGACATCAAATATTTCAGTTCAGTGGGTCTCACTGATAACAAATAATTTCTTAAAACTTTTTTTCTCTCACTATTATGTAATAGTTTTATTGTGATGAGTCACTCATACACTCTTTCCTTTTAATTTTTAGGTAAATTTAAAACTTTATTATATAGAAGTAATACATTTACATGATTCAAACTTTCTGCAATTTAATGAAAGAAAATTTACCCCCACTTTTGATTCATCATGACTGTACTTTATTAAACAATGAATTACTTCCTGTCAATTGCACGATTTTTATTCTAAATATTTTAAAAGACATAATATTTCAAGAAAGATCCACTATATTTTTTTATATATCACAACTCGTTCGTTATGCCCGTGTCTGTAGTGATGTTTTGGATTTCAATGAAGGTAATCTATGTATTACTGGTAAAATATTAAGTCAGGGATTTCGTCACCATAAATTACTTAAAACCTTTACAAAATTCTTCCATAGATACAAAGATTTGGTTTGGAATTTTGGCTGTATCTGTAGAAAACTTATTTCAAATGGGACAGCACATCCTAAATTTTAGAAAGATGATGTTTACTTAGCCCGGAAATTTACATATATTCTGGGTAAACTTATCTATCATTTAAATAAACTTATTCTAATAGGTTACCAATTCAAAACTCAAGTTAGATAATTGAATATTGTTTTTATTGGTATTAATATTGATTTTGTTATCAGTAAATTAAAATCAAACTAAATATTATTGTTATATCCATATACACATTCACAGTTCTACAATCTGTCGATACCTGTATCTCGGAATTGCACAAGGTCATGTTTTTTTCTCTGACTGTTAATGACATCTTTACACTTAATCCATTGGATGTTGGATGTGTACTGATTGATATTTTAGTCTTAGATACATGATTTTTTTATTAGTTGTTATTGGCTTTGAACTAGCTGTCAATTACTGTGAGTACTCTTAGATCTGTACTTAGCATCTTTTTTTGTTGTGGGGATGCATAAATACCTGCCACGTCCAGTCTGTGGATTTGGTAGATGTTTTTTCTGCTTTGTATCGATCTGCTGAGTTAAGCCTTTTTAACTGATTTTTGTCTCGCCTGCGACTTCTGTCGTAGAAAGAGAGACATTTGGCATTAAAAGCTTAATATTTCAGAATGTAGAACACCTGGATGCTTCATACTTAGTTTACAAATGCCTTATGTTATGAAGTTTTCGTCTGTCATATGTCCATTGTCCTTGACCTCATTTTCGCGGTTAAGTGATTACTTGAACAAAATGCTAAGATATTTTGTAATGTTAATTTCTCTCGTATTATGAGTAATAGGATAACTATATTTGGTTTGTGCGTACCTTGCAAGGTCCTCATGTATGACAGACAGTTTTCACTTGACCTTAACCTCCTTTCATTGATCAATCAACAAGGTTAAGTTTTCATGGTCAAGTCTTATATCTCTAATACTATAAGCAATAGGTCTATTATATTTGCTGTATGTAATGATTGTAAGATGTACATGTCTAACTTGCAGGTGTCATCTGACCTCATTTTCATAGTTCATTGGACAATGTTTAGTTTTTGTTGTTTGGCCTCTTTCTCGGATATTATAAGCAATAGGTCAATTATATTTGGTGTATGAAAGGAATGTAGGGTTTACATGTCTGTCTGGCAGGGTTCATATGACCTTGACCTCATTTTTATGGTTCATTTGTAAATGTTAGGATTTTGTGACTCAAAATGAAATCAATTATGAACATGCAAGACATTTCAGTGTGTGCACTCTTTTATAGTTTGTTCTTATGTTGTACTGTTACATCACTGTCCCAGGTTAGTAGGAGGGTTTATCACCAGCAAACTAGTGTTACCCCGCAACATTCCGTATGTGCCTGTCCCAAGTTAGGAGCCTGTAATTCAGGGGTTGTTGTTTGTTGCTGTATATCATATTTGTTTTTCGTTTGTTGTTTTGTACATAAATTAGGCTGTTAGTTTTACTCGTTTGATTTGTTTTATATTTGACATGTCTGGGCCTTTTATGCAGCTGACTATGCAGTAAGGGTTTTGCTCATTGTTGAAGTCCGTATGTTGACCTATATATTTGTTAACTTCTATGACATTTGGTCTGTGATGGATAGTTCAACTTTACCAATGAAATCCACGAAATTGGGTACCAATGAATAATAATTAATCCACAGTATTGATTTACTTTTTATATCCTGATTGTGGACTCTATCAATAGTACTGTATTTTATTAAGAATGAGTCATTGAAAAATAGCTCCAGGTATGTAAATCTTTGTATTTGATTGTTTCACTTTTAATGAACCCTAAAAAGTTATTAAGTGGTGGGTAGTAATCATAGTATGGAGAAAGCTCTGAAATGTTTACATCATTATCAGTAAAGAATAAGTGGTCAGTAAACAATGTTATCGATCATATGATTCGCAACATTTACTGGATTTAACAGGCTAATAATCATTATTTCATTATCGGTTATCATAAAAGATATTTTAATAGTCACATAAAATTTAGATCTTCAGGGTAACATAATGGTAAAAAAGAAGTAAATTTAGAAAAGGCTGGGGTGAAGTCAAGTGATCTGGG